GAAATTACTTTCTTCTGAGTTAATAAAAAAGCTTATGACATTCTAAAGCGCTCACGATAACATCAACACTCATATTCCTTTTCCGCAACATAATTAATGATGCTTGTCTAAACATTTTAAGTCTGTGGTATTTGTCTGCGGCAGGTGTACCAACGTACCAAACACTACGAAGGTACCACACGTTTACATTGCTCACGCACAAACGTTTAATTTAAATATGTTCGAAAATGTCTTCCGTTCATACATAATTATGCTTGTTAGAATAAACATAATTTAACAATTAAGACTGACGTTAAGTTAAAAAAAGTTAAGTGATAATTAATTACTTCTAAAAGCCATTAATTTTTTTGTAATCAATGCTTTGATTTCTACACTTGAAGTGGTTCTCTCTTATGATTTTGTACATTCAATACTTGCTTATACATACCCGCGGCATCGTTCGTGATTGGTGCGGAATTAAAGGACCTTTTGGCAGCCCTGACAACGTATAGGCTTTTATCATGAATGATTGAGTAGTTAAGGCGTTAGAGCGTCACAAACAAATAAACTCCGTATCGCATTTAAAATATTAGTTTGGTTAGTGTGAAAAGAAGGAACGAATCAAGCGATGTCATACACTCGCCATATAGACAGTGTTCCTGTGTTCCTTGTTTTTGACGTTATGTATAACAGATAAGAAAACCTACACGACAGCAGAAAAATACTGTTACTGTAACTCAGCAGACATCTCATCTGATAATAACGTAAGTAAGGAGGAGTTAAGGGGAGGGGTTGGACTTTGGTTACCTCACTCACTCGGTGAAAAAACAACGAAAGATTTGCTTGATATCGGTCTTCTGAGAGGCCCTGGTATCACACCCAATTGTGTCGAAACATGGCTCTATTACGTCTAAGTTTGTTTCACTGGCATGGGACAAAATCACAATGTACTGTGATTTATCATTCGATTTTTTCCTACGTAGGTTAGGGTTGCTACTTAAGCGTTGTTGCCAATAACCTGTTTTCAGACGATGCATAAAGACCCTATTTTGCCTATTTAACTGTAAATCTAGTATTTTTAAATTGTTAGAATGGTATGTGTATTTAATTTTTAAAAAAACTGGATTTATTAAAACAGTAAATCTAGTATTTATTTTTATTATGTATGTATGGTAGCTATATCTTATATATAAAATTCTCGTGTCACAATGTTAGTTACCATACTCCTCCGAAACGTCTGGACCGATTTTTATGAAATTTTGTGTGCACATCGGGTAGGTCTGAGAATCGGTCAACATCTATTTTTCATACCCCTAAATGACATTATTTCCTAGAAATAATGTATAAGGCAAAACAACATTTGCCAGGTCAGCTAGTAAATATATAAATAAATACTAGTTTTACTGTTTGAATAGGGTCTTTATGCATCGTCTGAAAACATCTTATTGGCAACAACGCGTGAGTAAATAGGAACCCTAACCTACGTACGAAAAAGCGAATGTTATCATTCATCATCATCAGACATCACAGTGAACTGTGATTTGTCCCATGTCTTACTTGTTTGGACAGCACTAAAAATACAAATGAATGTTTATAAAAAGTTAGAACTATTTATAGTAAATTACCGATTTAAACCATATGTATAATACCATTGATTCAAAGGTATAGTATGATATCTATACATATGTTTTAGTACGGGTGGCAACCCTGCTGTTAACACAAGGCCACGTAATACTTTGATGAACCCGTCAGAATATTTGGATAAAAGTAACGAAGTACTTAGATAAAGCATATCAAAAGACGGAAGAGAAGCATTTGTTGTAACAAGTCGGCAATAGCTATCAGCGCGGAGACATGTTTCTTACATTTGATTTATCTCTAGTCTTGTTTATGATTTTGATACATGTGTCTATTTATTCCCTTGATAAAAGTCTTTAAGTCTTTAAAATTCAAAAGAATTTTATGTTTGTCAAATATCATAATAAGCTTTAGTTGCGGCACAATTCGTTGCGTTTTTCTCTATTCTTTTATCGGTGGGATAAACTTGGTGATAATTTTATATGTCAGTACCTATTTTTTCTGTCTCCTGACATAGAAATTTGCCTGAGCGTCTTTCTTTCTTGCTGTTATTCTATAACAACAATTTAAAACTTACATAACTCGTGACTGTAAAAGACTATATCTGTTTAAGTTAACGACCTTTACCTATAAACAATGTTATTATTTATCAAATATCCACGTCATGATGGAGGAACACTGGCTCCCAAGTCACAGGTGATAAACCTAGTTTGGGAGCCAAAATCCTAATATTGTTTACATGTGGCCAGATTATTTTATTTGTAATATTCTTGAAATATTATAAGTAAACAAGATGTATTTGAGTCTATTTTTGATAAATAAATAAATAAAAATATTATTTGTCTAATGTTTAATACCATTAGGTGCCATCCCAGACTACACAAATAAATAAACAACGTAACGGCTTTTTAATAGATTCATATTTTTCTTAATGTTTTGTCCGTGTAGTGACGGATTATGATTACGGAGTGTCACCACACCTATTTATTCATCAGCAGGGCAACAGCACTGCAAAGAGACGGAAAACTTGAAAAAACCCAATACCAACCCGTCTGGCCCCCTCTTCTCTAAGGAGAGGCCTTTGTCCAGCAGTGGACTGTTAAAGACTGTTGATGACGATGTATGTAAATATTTACATAGTGATAAAACTACTATTTTTCAGGTTTATCTATGAAACCAGTAAACCAATTTTAACAGATCGACGCCATGTCATAGTAAACTAAATTAAGTTTATTTTTATCGAAAACGAAAGTAGCCTAAGGTACTATAAAATAATCAAAATTCTGAGAAAAAAAAATACAAACACGCTAGGGAAGCTGTAGCCACAATATATAATAATAATATTCTACCACATTGACACAACGCCATCTAGTCCCAAACTAAGCAGAGCTTGTACTATGGGTAACTAGACAACTGATATAAATACATATATACTTTTTTTTTGTAAATACATACATATTATACATAGAAACACCCAGACCAAATCAAACATTAAATGTTCATGCACACAAATGCTTGACTTGAGCGGGAATCGAACCCGCGACCTTTGGAATAGCAGTCCGTTACACAAACCACTACGCCATTCGGTCGTCGAATAGTTAGTAATAATATATAGTTGGTTAGTTATATGTAGTTAATATATCATTTTATTTATCTTAATTCCAATTTTTTTCTTGTTACAGGTACTAATCGCAACACAAGACCATCATATAGTCTCCAAGCTCTCCGATCTATTCGTTAGCGACTCCACAAACAGTCCATAGTTTCGTTCAGGTGTGTCCCCACCTTTTGTGTCGGGTTGTTTCGATTGATCAGTAACGCTATTGTATCGTGTAACTAACCAAGAGTGCGCTATACCAACGTATTTGGTGTGGAATTATTGTGTGTGTGACTGATCGAAACACAATAGAGATAGACATTTATTTAATTGAAGTTAATATTGAAGATTGTTTGAAAACATTTGCTAAAGTTTATTATTTGAAGTACGCGTAAATTTTTAAAACTACGTCTGATACTTATTTTTTTACGTGTGGAAACCCCCTCGGGGTTTGCGGCGGGGCGGTATATTGGGATCGAACCGACTAAAACCACACGGTGTGCCACTCTGCGCCTGAAATAGAAGGGATCCGGGAAAGACCAAGCAGAGCCTGTGCTATAGTAACCAGACTGTTGATAAACTTATATTAAAAAATATATAGATATTATAGATAATTTACACCCAGACACGAAACAAATGATCGTGCTCGTTACACAACTAGGTATTTGTCGTGTGTGAGACTCGAACCCACTGACTTCTTTCTTAGTGACTATTTCAACATTCGTTAAACCAAAATTCTTCTAATAATAGAACTCATATAGCTTAGTAAAGTTATTGCCTAGAGACCTGCAGCGTGGGCAATATTGAAAATCGAGCAGGCTTTGTCTTGAGTCGGTTCTTGCAATACCACTACAACTAAAAGCTTGAAGTTATAATTTGAATTTAGTATGTTAGATAACTAAATAAGCAGCTCATGTTTAGTAGTTTAAATAAGTTTATCATTAGTTCTGTATACTTTGGCTAAATAGAAAGGTGTATAACACTCCTAAATTTAGATACATTTTAGCCAATACTATACTTATATTGATTCAGACGCACGCCGCTAGTGCAGTACGAGAACATCCCAATCTACAATTACGTAGTATTTTTCTTCATTACAATCGCATGTAGCTGTCAAAAGGCACCAAGTTATTTTTCAATACTCACGTAAGCATACAAAAACTTGTATTACCTACTAATATTAACAGATAGACGTAAATTGTATTGCTCACATCGAGGTGTGTGCTCGCGTACGGAACTCTAAGTGAACAACCAGTTTTAGAACAGCTCTCAAAGGTCCATCCATCGTTTGAAAGCAATTTTCTTCGATGAGAATACAAAATGCTGCTTCACACAAATCTAAACAATTATAAACCTTATTTGTATATTCAAAGCGTTAAAATTTGTACCGTTATGTTCATGTAAGAGATTTTAATGAGTGGAAATTAATTGATATTTTGACGGTAGTTAAAGCTTTACGTACATGTGTCGAAACAAACTAATAAGGAGGCTATTGGTACTCTTTGTGGAGGGATGACGGATAGATTGGTGAGCTTCGCATCAGTGAACAGTTAAAAATCTTATAAAACTCTTACCAGTAATTACACTTACAGATAAAAAAGGGCACGCACACTTACAGAAAAAAAAATCGTGATAGTGTAATTCAACTTCAAGTGTTCTAAATGTGAAAGTGCATGTGTTTTCAAAATTCTCTTAAGTATTTAAACCTTCTTAAATACAAGTGCAATCTAAGAAAACAAATAAAAAAACATGAAAATAGTGATGTCCAGGTAACACGATTGTGTAGTTCTGTTGTTGTTATGACGTGTCAACAACCAGTGTTGTTTAGTGTTGATGGGTTGCTGTTATGAAGCGCAGCAAGTCATATACGTGGCTGTCGGGGCTGCTGCGGCCCAAGCCCGAGGAGCGGGAGGAGCAGGACCACGAGGAGTGGGGCGCCGTACCCTGGGTGCGGGCTGACGTAATGCATCATGACAGGTCAGTGATGATTTTAAATGTTTTATTTTCTGATTTTATCCGCTGTCAGTGAGAAAACAAAGCATTACATCTGTAGGTGTTTTGGGCTATCTTCTGTCCTTCGTCTACTGCTGTCTCTTTGCCAGAATCAACATCACTGTTCGTCCAAGGAAATGCCTAACATTTATTTTTGAACCTACTGCTAATAAACATGAAACAAGTTACCTCGCGTAAGGCTGTCTGAGCCCAAATTAAGCAGAACCTGTACTATGATATAATGAATCAGCACTATTATAACAATACTTATATGTTTCTAAACACCTACAATATTACAGATATATTACCCCTGGACTTAGAAGAGAAGACGGTTGCAAATCACATAATTATTCGTCTTAAAGTCAGGATTCCTACCTCTTAGAATTCGAAGCTTAAACGCTCGTTAATAGTACAGTTAAACTTGTTGTTGTGACGAAGCTATGTTGGTTAAGTCACTGTATCTTAACGATATATGAGCTAAGTCGACACCACATTAAATGGTTTCGATCACTAATCAGTGTAATATAACATTTGTCTTGTATCAGAATAAATTTACAGAGTATTTGATGATAATGATTCTAAGAACTCGCGAGACGACACATGTGATGTCATTTTAGTCTTAATGTTTAAATAAACTAACTGTTATGTGATTATTTCAGATTTGTTATATTTGAAGTAGTATTCTCTCATGGACCTGTTTTATTTGATTATGTCTTGTCTTATTTTGATAGTAACGTAACCAACGGAAGTCTACTGGATTTATTTGTTTGACGATAATTACTGTCGATACTATCACGATAATTACACGATAATTACGGCACTCCATTTAGAATAAGAAAGAAGAGAAAAGAAAGACTTACTGATTAGTAAAGAGTTTTCGCAAACAATAAGAACAGAGTGATTGGAAGATCCAGTTCAAGGCCAGTCTCAAAACTAATCTGAACCACGATCTTCTGTAGGGTCCATAGGTTCCCGTTTCGTCAAGTCTTTTATCTCCAAAAAGGTAGACAGAACCATATTAATAGCCGATATTTTGCCAACTATAAGTAAAGTCCTACTTTCGCAATGGGGGCGATGCTATTGATGTCAGATGCGAACGTGTGTCTGTCTGGTGCTTCTTCAAGCTCAAACCGCTAAACCAATTTAGATGAAATTTTGTATAGAGAGAGTTTGAGCTCCGGGAAAGGACATAGGATAGTTTTTATATCAGAAATCATTATTTAAGGGAGTGAAAAAGGGGGTGAAAGTTTGTATGGGGGATCAATAACCGCTGAACGGAATGAGATGAAATTTGGTTTGGATGGTCCGTGTGGTGACGGATTAAGAATACAGAGTGTCACCACTCCTATTCATCCCGTGGGTGTCGTAAGAGCGACTTAGGGAGCAAACTACGCAGAACAACAGCACTGCAGATAGAAGGAAAACTTGACACAAACCCTTCACCAATCCGTCTGGCCAGCGTGGTATAGTAGGCGAAAACCTCCTTCCTAAGGAGAGGCTTATGCCCAGCAGTGGACCGTTAAAGGCTGTGGATGATGATGATGGTATGGCTATAGTTTTATTCTTGAAGAAGAAAGGACATAGGCTTGCGGTGCCGTGAGTAAAAGCTCATATTTATAAATAAACAGTCTATATGTATGTATTTAGAAATATATAAGTATGTTTATTAGCAGTCTGGTTACCATAGTATAGGCTCTGCCCAGTTTGGGATCAGACGGCCGTGTGTGAGATATGTGAAAATATTATAAAAATATTATGATATAATGTTGTCGTAATGTCGTAATATAACGGTGTCGTAAGAGCCGACTAAGGGCGCAAAACAACGCATCAGCACTGCAAAAAGAAGTAAAACTTGACACAAACCCTATACCAACCCGTCTGGCCAGCGTGGTGCAGTAGGCCAAAACCTCCTTTCTAAGGAGAGGCCTATGTCCAGCAGTGGACTATTAAAGGCTGATGATGTGTGATGTGTGATGATGATAATGTTTTTAAATACATACATATATTAGGTAAATTATATTTAGACATCGTGCTCAACACACAATATATGTCCTGGGTTGGAATCGATCCTAGGGAATTCGATTCATCTAAGCAGTCAGCCAACCGCTAGATAAATAGACCAGTCCACTACCAACTTAAGATAAGTTCACGAAGAAAGTATGAGATATTACATACACACAAATAAATTTATGATTTTCTCGCTTAGGGACAGGTAGAGAAAAGAGCCCGCCAGTTGATTCTGTCCTTGAATGTCTTACGAGCCCTCATAACTCCTCTTACACATCTGATACGCTCACCGGTTATGGGTAGGTAGGTACACGAGAACGACAACAATTTGATCAAAGTATGTTCTGCGTGGGTCTACATTTATAAATATGCAGATATGATCTAAAATATTATAGGTATGTATAAGTATCTTAGCAGGAATGGCCGAGTCAGTATTGCGTCTCACACAAGCATGTTTTTGCCGTCATCAGCAATTGCAGCCGGATTCAGATGTAAAAGATAAAGTTACATTATAAATTGAGATCTAGGCGATATATGTATAGTGTTTACTTACAAAAATTATTTAATTTTCCTTATTGATCTAAAAAAATGTAGAAATAATAAATTTGCTGTACTGCCCCAGCGGTCTCTCCAGTCACAAGTCAGACATGCGGTATGTGATCCAGACTTCGACGAGCTACTGCTGTCTGAGTCTTTTTCCATCTGAGACTTGCTTTATTATTTAGGGGTCAAGCGAGCAACCTCATTATACCTGCAACTGAAGAAATACAAGTATATTGCCGCCCCCCATGCGGCCTGGGCATCACTCTAGTCATTGAGAATGGCTCTCAAACGGTTTTCTTACCTTATTTCAGTCGATCTATCCGTTTTGGCATTCTCCTTTTGGGTCGCCTAAAAACGTTTACTTTGCCATGGAGGATTAATTGAACCACCTCAGTGAAAGAACCAATAAAAAGGTATTGCATAGATACACATTGCAGCGATCCAATATGAAATTGTGTGCATGTTTCTTGATATTTTAACCAAGGATCCAGGGGCTGAAGTGATCAGAGGTCTAAGTGTGAGTTTAGTTGCGATTGGCCCGCACGGAAATCTTCACCAATCGCAACACTCACATCACTCGCCATTGATAGCGAGTTGATGTGACATAATCTCGCACTAGACCCTCTGTGCGTCAGTATTATGAGTGCAGTGCAGTGAACGTAATTACTCATAATTAACTTTATTATGGCTATGAATGTTCCAGACCTGTTCCCAGAAGGTCAATGTTTTGAATACGGGTATACATACATATAAATATCAATCATTACTCTTTGTATAAACGCTAATTATTAAATTTCAAGTATTTAAGTATAAAGATATTTGTAGCCAATCAAGTGCCACATTCTAAATCCGTAAAGTTTAAAGCTCTAAAATAATAAAAACACAAACTCTGTACAACTTAATCTGTACAACATAAAATCTAGACCGGTTATATCACTAAATACTAGTACAAATTTATCGTTGTGTTATCTCAAATAGGTCATAAATCTCCACTCTCTCATTAAAATATTATGGCCGATAGACGTTAGAGCAAATTCAAAAAATAATTTTAAAAGCCCCTCTAGCGTCCGTTTGGTAATTTAACATAAAAGATTATAGGCCGCGGTGTTGCCATGTCTATTAAATAATTTACATTTAAAATAATTTAGATACAAACGTGGCATTTTAAGTCTCTTAAAGTATTAATATTACAATAACACTTATAAAAACTCTAACATATAAGATTTTTTATAAAAATGGTAACTAAAGTATTTAAGATCCTGTATCTTTTTCTATAACATAAATAATAAATATACAAGTAATGTAAACTCAGTAATCTTTTTTAATGTATAATTACATAATTTGTAGACAGTGTAAATATACCCAAGTAATTTTACAAATGCGAAAGTGTGCTTGTTTGCTTACTATGTTTTTACGCCTAAAGTTCTTAACCGATTATCATGAAATAGGCATAAACATGGCCAGTAGTACAGAAAAATACAGTTGTAGTTCGTTTCATCTAGATAGATAGACATGACAAAAGTACTAGTAAATAGTAAGAGCTAACTATAAAAATCCTTACAAATAGGCAGTAGAAAAATTGTTCCCAAAACATAAAACAGTACCCTTAAACTTTGGAAAAATAACGATGGTAACACTGACTGGTCAGTAGTGCTGGAGAAATGCGTTCTACTTAAACCAGGCTCTGTCGTTGCGAAGAATTTGCACAAAAACTCGCCCCGGCTGCATCTGTGGCTGACACCGCGACGAACGACAAGAACGCACGGTACTGCGGCCCTAAGCGGTCACCCGACCATTATAGGACATCTAACAACATGTTGTTAATATTTATATGCGTTGTAAATCTTGTAACGCGATCTAATTGCTTTTTGTGTAACATACCATCAATCTTAGATCTCTATAGAGGACTAAACAGATGGTGTACTTTTTGTGGAACAGATCCATAGAAACATACCGAAGTATGTACAGACAGTCTGTTCTATATCAGACCGGCCTTTCAATCCAACTATCAAACTATCTCCATTCAGCGGTTTAAGCGTGAAGAGGTAACAGACAGACAGATAGGCAGACAGGCAGACACACTTTCGCATTTGTAATATTAGTATGGAATACAGGAACTGTTGTAATAACACATTAATCTATACTAATATTATAAAGCTGAAGAGTTTGTTTGTTTGTTTGAACGCGCTAATCTCAGGAACTACTGGCCCGATTTGAAAAATTTTTTCAGTGTTAGTGTTAGTGTTAGTGTTTCAGTGTTTAACCCATTTATCGAGGAAGGCTATAGGCTATATATAATCACGCTAAGACCAATAGGAGCGGAGCACAATGAAGAATGTTTCAAAAACTGAGAAAATTTATTACTATTGAGGGACGCAGACGAAGTTGCGCGGGTCAGCTAGTGTAAGATAATTATGGATACGTATAGGAATTAACGTTTTGTGTTAGTGTAATGTAAATGTATGTAAGTAATGTGTGTGCGTATGCGTGCATCTGTGTATGTCATACACTTTGATCTGTTTTGTGTTTGTGTAATGTAAATGTATGTAAGAAAAGTGTGTGCGTATGTGTGCGTCTGTGTATGTCAAAGAAATGTAGTTTATGTAAATGTATATTTTATTCGAATGCATAGTTACGATTAGTTAATTAGGTAACCTTGATCAGTCATCAATCAACTTGCTGGTGGTTCCGATATAATTAAGTATACGACAGTAAAATATGTTGCCTTTATTTACATATTTAATAGGAATTTAACGTTCATTACGAAACTGTAGCCGACGGAAAACATATCTTAATGTTTTGATAGCATCGGTAGGTATGCAGTCAAACATTAATACATATATGTATGTAAGTACTTATACCTATTGTATTTTGTAACAAAAAGTATAGTTCTAGTATTTATTTGTAACAATATGAAATTTTCTACAGAAAATACATAAAATACACTCATATTTGCGAAGGGGTAGGCAAAGACGAATAAAACGCCTACATTTTGCCGACTATAATTTTAGTCCCGCTTATGTAAAAGAATGCCCCTATTACATAAGCGGGACTAAAATAAAAAGCCTATTGCCGTAAACCGGGCACTTTAGGCATTAAAAACAATCCAACATTTCTTTCGAAGGTAATAAAAATTAGGTAAATGCAAGAAAAACCGCGGAAAAAGCTAGAAGCTACCAAAAGGTTTCTACTTGTAGCTCGAACTTATATTCTATAATACT